TTTGCGCACAAAAAGTATTCTCGTAGCTTCGTATAATTGCGGTTGAACCACTGATGTCACGTGGATTATTTTACCGATCTCCTTGCTACATTTCTGGACTTGGGAACATTTCAGTTGCGTTGCTGTCTATGCCGGGTCAGACAGCTCTCAGATTCCATTCATTTTTAGGTTAACTAACCCTTTAATATGTGATTAACCCAGGCATGGGCAAACTCGGGGTTGAAGCTAAACTCTGCAGGACAGTGGCCCTCCAGGACCGAGTTTGTCCATGCCTGGATTAACCCCTTAAATTTGACAAGTATATTAAAGCTGTTTTGAAGAGTTGACTCTTCGAGCTTAGACCTTTTACCAAACTGAAATCTGTCCTTTATTGTCTTGAACAGGACAATCAGTGAGCTTCTGACTGTTACCAGCAAGAGGGACCATATTTCTTCTATACTGGACAGAGTACACAGTTTTGTTATGCTTTGAAAGCTGTAGATGTATTGGAACATTGTTACTCTGATCTCTGCAGTTTCCATCACACCTACAGGTCTCTTAAATATGCCAACTAGCTGCTCCTTACTCACTCGTGGTGCTTAATGCTGAGTTCATAAAATGGCCACAGTCCGTTGAGACCTCATCAATACGTTCAAACTGTGCCTTAAGACTTATTTGCCCTCGCTGGACATTATGACAGTGTAACAGTCATTGTGTGCTGGACAGATGTAATGTGTGTTTTCCATTTGTCTATGTTTAAGCACAACACACTTTTTTGTTGTTTTTAAATGTGCTATATCAATAAATTATAGAGAAGAACACATATTATTGTTATGAAAATGAAATGGAGAAAAAGTGCACAGCTAAATAATCCACACAGCTCTTATCTTTCCCAGTACTGTGGTCTCTCGCCGTGTTGTGCAGAGCTCCAGGGTCTCTCAGCTCACAGCCTGCCAGAAATCATCACATCAAACTCTGCTGTTTTGTTCACCCCCCAGCCAGGTCCGGCTCCCCAATACAGAGTGAGCCAGAAACGGCCCCACATAAATAACTCAGCTATGGACATCTCCCCAGGCTCCACCTCGCTATCTCCACTCATCTTTCTCTCAATTAAGTCCTGGCTGGAAAAATTTCTGCTTAAGGGTAGTCGCGAGGACTCCAAAAAGCAATGCGAAGCTGTTTTGGAAAGACTTGATAGTTTGTTTATTTTGGTTGGTGTTCAAGTGAGTAAGTGTCAGAAACAGCAAGACATGGATTCATATCCAAAAGGAGTAAATAATCTACATGAAGGAGGATAAAAGCTTCTGTATGGATACAAACCAGAATCTCATATTTGCAGAAATATTTGGAGAAAGCACTCATACATCCATACAAAATGCACCATTCAGTGTTTTATTTCCATTAAAAACGCCTGAAAAATTAGATATTTCAGTGTGACAAAGGTGCATTTGGCACTTGCCCCATTCTCTCCTCCATAAAATCAGTTGAACACAACTGCTGTTTCAAACCCTAGTGGGCATCCCTGCAGATTAGTAGTTGACCGATATGGATTTTTTTTTTTTATGGCTGATGCCGTTATCTGGTTGGGTGGCCAATGGCCGATATAAAACCAATATACATTATATGATATCACACTATTTAATTTACAGATAGTAAATAAATTACTAAGTAAATAAATGTATATTTATTTGACATAATATTTACAAACAGAAACAAATAATTTGAAAATTAATCAAATAAATCTGAACTTGATAAAAATACATTTTTAAAATGACCAGATTTATACTTTAGATAGCAATTTTCATCAATTTGTAATCCTATAAATCTGTAAAAAATTTATAGGATAACAGGATTACAGAATCCTTACAGAATCCCTACAAATTAAGTTGCTATCTCTCTAAAAGTATTAATCTGTTAATTAAAGATGAAGAACGGGCGCTCCTGTGAGTCTGCAGTCAGGCACTCTTGGTGATGTCAAAATAAAAATCCCACTTCCTTACTGCCCAAAAAAACCCATCTAATTCTGATAATTAAAAAATGCAAACATATATCGGTCACCACTATTGCTGAGAGCTAACTAAAATAGGACCTCATAAACAATAATTTGTAAAGTTCTTCACAGGAAGCAACTTTTAAGTCACTCACACTCAATTAGCACTAGCCAGCCATCTTGGTAATGCATAAATATGTGCAATCTTGAAAAAAGAAACAAAAATTACCCTTCCTAGTACACATACCTTACATACTGTAGGTATTACGTGCAGTATGAACACTGGCCTTACCAAAATGACTCCTAAACTCCAGAGGTCGCAGGACTCATCATAACCATTGTATTTGAGGATTTCCGGTGCAGCGTACTGAAGAGTGAAACAGGGGGTCTTCAGGAGCTGATTGTCAGGGGGTTTGAGCCGTGCAAAGCCAAAGTCAATAACTTTTATTTCCGAATTCTCAGTGTCGTCAGTGAATAGCAAATTCTATAAAGAGAACAGAGAGATTGAAGAAAAGTCCATTAGACAGTCAGACAAATAAACCAATAAATCCTCATTAGTTTTCCAACACAAATATTTACTAATTCACTGTTCGCCAAATTGAAACAAGCATTATTGAGGAGCATAAACTTAACAAGGCAGATTTTTCTTGAGTAAGTTTCCTTTTAATTAAGCAAGACTTGTCAACCCTGAGGCCTAACTACTACGTAAAGTTCTGCCCAACCTACACTATGGGGCCCCTCGGCCTGGAGTGCTGGTGACATGTGGGTTGTACATTTGAGATAATGACAGTGAATGTGTTGTGGCATGCTGTACCTCAGGTTTGAGGTCCCTGTGCACCACACCAACGTCATGCATGTGACTGACGGCAGACACCAGTCTGCGCATGATGCGGCTGGCCTCCGTCTCACTGAAGTGCTGCTTCCTTCTGATCCTCTCCAGCAGCTCTCCACCTTGCAGGAGCTCCAGAACAAGATATGTGTGTAGCTACACAAACACACAAACATAAATTCACCATATTAGAGAGCATTGTTATTTTTGTATCATTGATATACTATTATAGGTTTGTTAAAGGGATAGTGCACCCAAAAATTTAAATTCTGTTATTAATTACTCACCCTTATGTCATTCCAAACCCGTAAGACCTTCCTTCATCTTCGGAACACAAATTAGGATATTACTGATGAAATCCAAGAGCTTTCTGACCCTCCATAGACCGCAATGCAACTACCACGTTCAAGGCCCAGAAAGGTAGTAAGGACATCGTTAAAATAGTCCATATGACAGCAGTGGTTCAACCTTAATTTTATGAAGCTACGAGAATACTTTTTGTGCGCAAAGAAAACGTAAAAAAAAAAATGTGTGTGTATATATATATATATATATATATCTCCTTAAATAATCTCTTAATTTGTGTTCCGAAGATGAACGAAGGTCTTACGGGTTTGGAATAGCATGAGGGTGAGTAATTAATGTAAATTAATTGTAATTTTTGGGTGAACTATCCCTTTAATATTTAAAATTAGGTTTTATTTTCATATTTTGTAGTCACTTTTTAGTTTTAGTTACTCTATATTGTTTTTATTAATTTGTATTTATTAGTTGTAGCTTATTAAGTTTTAGTTATTTTAATACTTTCAGTTACAAAAAATGAAATGTTGCCTTGCAATCAGCTGAAATAAAATAAGTTTAAGCTTTTTAATATTTTATTTGATTTCAGTTAACGTTTCTCTTATTTCAGGTAACAAAAATGTATTTTTATGGTTATATTTTTAGTTTAAGTTAACTATAATAGCAATGTTAGAGAGTGCAAGTCATTCACAGTCAAGATGCAGGGGTTAACGGCTAGTCATGCACCACATCAAGTCTGCCCTCCCCCCCTCCCTGGACCCCTTCCAGTTTGCATATCGGTCCAACCGCTCGACCGATGACGCCATCGCCACTACCCTCCACTCAGCACTCACACAC